TTGCGAGGATCGGACCACCGCCCAATATCCTTCTTTGCCCTCTGGCCTCTTCTTTCTTGTTCGTATTTTTTCTTCCTTTCTTTCTTTTCTCTTCTTTATATTTCTCCGTCTCTTTCTTTTTTTTTTTTTTCTCTCTTTCTTCTTTTTTCTTTCTTTCTTTTTTTCTCTTCTCTTCTCTTCTCTTTTCATTCTCTCCTCTCGAAGAATCACGAGCAGGGACGAAAATATCTCTCTCCAGGAAACGTATCGAAGAGTTCCCAAGTTGTTGGTGTTGTTCCAAAGCTGACTCGGTCGCTGGACCGTGGCATGTTTTTTATCTGGGCCGCATCTTCCTTAGAGAACGCGAACGAGAATACTTTCCATCTCTCTTCATCTTAACGTCTCGAGAAGTACAACACGACAGCCGATTTACACCCCGTCGCGTTGTGTCGCTGTTAGGAGTCTCTACGGTCTCTCTCACGTCCCTTCTTCTGTGGTAGTAGTAAAGAGGAAAAGAGCTTTCGCGTAACTGGAACGTGGACTCTGATCCACGAGCGAACGAGTTGATATAATTAAACTGGTCCGTTGGTATGGCGCGAACCAGTTTTCGAGAATCGTGAGCACGAAAATTCTTGGCCCTGGTGCCTCCCGAGCGATTACGTTTCTCGTATGAATACCGTCCTCATCTTAGCAGCTGCTCGTGAATCACGGACATGGCTTTTGCAAAATTTTTTTTAAAAGTTCCCCATCGTTAAACTTACCGCGATAATCACATTTATCCGCGCCTACTTTTTCATCGTTACGAACGAACAAAATATCTTTTAACTTTTTTTTTTCTTTTTTTTTTTTTTTCTTTTCTTCTCTATATCTACGTTATCTCGATATAATAATTATATTCTCTTAAAAAATTTTTCGATAATTAATAATTATACGACTTTGTTCGTTTTTACGAGCAATTTAGATATCACAGATAAAATATATATATATATATATATATATATATATATATAAATATTCCTTCTATCTTTCGAATAGAACGAAATATGAATATCGTTTCTTTTTTCCTTTCTGTTTCTTTCTTCTTTTTTTTTTTCTTTTTTTTTTTCTTTCTTTCTTTCTTTCTTTATGAATCTTTA